CATCTAGGTTGTGAACCAGTGATTCTTGTTTCGCAAGTAACTGATATAGTGATCTTGGGTACGCCCGATGACGACCCACTTATCTACATGCAAAACAACAGAACGTGGAACTTATTCAACCAAACATAACTCTCATTCATCAAGGAATAACAAGTGTAATATCCACTAAAGCAAAGCTTAAGTATATAACACCAACAGATTAGGCTTAGACATAATTTTGTGCCTATATAAAGGCCCTTACCCCATGTTATTTTTCATCATTCAAGACATCAATAGAAATCTATAACTTTGTTCTTCCAACTTTGCTTTAGTCTTTTCACCAGAATACTATTGCAATTTTATCGTTTCAATAGGCGCGGTTGTGGCTAGAGAAACACTATCGGCGATTCAAGGCGCGGGTTAGCGGCTTATCGGCAGTCGAAACACACGATCCTCATCATTGGTGCTTTCATTGAGAGGTGTTGATCGTGTGTTTTTCTTCAACCCCATTCCCTTTCTTTTTCTTTTCGTTTTTTCGTCCCTCTATCAAAAATAATAAAAATAAAAATAAAACAACTTTCGTTCATCATCACCATCATCGTCTCAACCACGAGTCCACAAAGCAAAGAGCGGAGAGAAGAAAGAAAAGCCATGGCCAACAAGGAGATGAAGGATAAGATTGATAATCATGACATCCAGATGCGGAGTATGAGGGAGGTTATTGAAGGAAGGCTTGGATCGCTTGACGAAAGTCAAAACAATACCAACGCCGTCGTCACACGACTCGAACAGCGATTAGAGGAAGTTTTGCGTGCGCTCCAGCAACAACCACCTCACCGCGACGATCCCCCAAGGCGCGAACCCCGCCGGCACGATGAGCACGCCGATCGCACACCATCCCCACGGCGCGAGGATCGATACGAGCAACGGCGCGCACACGAACAGGAGAAGGGTCGGCGACGCGAGCGATGCGAACACGAGGAGGATTTCGATCAGCGGTCGCAAGCGTCCACCTACCGTGAGCGGCCTAAGCCCGACAAACCGAGGTTCGTAATGTCCATCTTCACGGATAGTGATCCGGAGGCTTGGCTCAACCGAATCTCGCAATATTTCGAACTGAATGAAACCGACAGCCACGATCGAGTAAGGTACGCAACATTCTACTTAGATGGTGAGGCAAACGTATGGTGGCAGTGGCTTTCCCGGATCTACCGTAGGCGGCAACAGGTCATTACATTGCTGATTTTGAGAGAGAATTGCTTACTCGATTTGGCACGTCCGATTACCATAATTATAATGAGGCTCTCGCACGAATCCGACAGACAGGCAATTTGCGTGAATACATCAAGGAGTTTGAACGACTAGCCTCTCGCGTGCGAGATTGGTCTGAAGATGCGCTAGTAGGAGCCTTCGTAGCTTGACTGAGATTCGATCTAGCCGCAGAAGTCTGACTGGAGCGGCTGGACACGATGCATAACGCCATGCAGGTGGCCCGCCGACGAGAAGACCATCTAGTCGCTACGCGAAGGGGACGGGCTGATGTGCGATACGCCGACACGCGACGCACGGGGCCGAACCAAGCCATGGCCGGCGCACGGCCGAGCGTCAACAATCGGCCAACGGGGTCAATAGTGAGGCGGCTGTCTCCCGAGGAAGTTAAACGTCGACGTGAGAAAGGCTTATGTTTCAAGTGTGAAAAGAAGTTTACACCAGGTCATCAGTGTAAGCAAGCCTTTGTGATCGAAGTTGCTAATCCTGATGAGGAAGGATATGAGGACGAGGAGAAACCACATCAGGATATCGTAGTTGAGGGGCCTGACGAAGAAGCAGAAATCTCAATGCACGCGATGGCCGGGATACGAGGGCCTCAAACGATGCGATTGCTGGCC